AGTTCCGGCGGGGAGAAGGGAGGGGTGACATGCAGAGCAGGCAGCCGCGGCCTCGGGAGCAGCCGGAGCCGGAGCTGCCGGAGCGGCGGGCGGGAGCGGCGCTGGGGGGGCAGGCCTGGCGCGGCGCCCCCACCATGGAGATCGAGAAGGAGTTCCACCGGCTCGACCAGGCCGCCAGCTGGGCCGCCATCTACCAGGTGAGGGGCAGCCGCCCGGCCCGGCTCTGCCCCCAGCCCCGGCGCTGAGGCGGGGAGCGCTCCTTCCCTCACCATCTCTCTGCCGCCGCCTAGTTCTGCCCCCCCACCCCCACGGCGTGTGTGTGTGTGTGTGTGTGTGCGCGCCCCAGCTGCCGAGCGCCCTGCGGGGAGAGCGCTGCCCTCCGCCTCCCCTCTCCCTGGGTCCGAGCTTTCCCTTCCCCCTTCCCCGCTTCCCTCCCGCAACACGCTGCGGGCTGGCCCGCCGCTCCGCCGTGCCCTCCCTTCCCCTTTCGCCCGGCTCTGTCCCCCTGAGGGAGCGCCGCTCCCCGCGGAGCAAAGCCCCTCTCACCTCCTTCTCCTCAGGGCTACGCGTTGGCGGGGAGTGCCGGCCGCCGCCACCCCCCGCGGCGGCACGGTTGTGGCACCGGGACCCCGCGGGGCAGCGCGCTGCGCTCCGCTCCGCTCCGTGGCGGGCTGGGGAGAAGGAGGGGAGGGGAGGGGGCCTCCTGCCGCGCTGCCGTGCCTCCGGGGGTCGGCCCGGGGCAGGAGCCGGGCAGCAGCCCCGCTCTGCGGAGCGAGCCTGCAAGGAGTTTCCTCTGGGAGATCCCTCAGCCGCGCTCGTGTTCTGGCTCCAGGTTCCGCTTGGAGCTAAGCGTGGACAGAAATTCTCAAGTTAGCTTTTTAAAACTGACCCCTTCCTAACCTTGAGGGAGTATATCTAAGTATCGTGTTTGTCTTTTTTTTTTTTTTAAACAGAAAAACAGTGGTGGGCAGCGCTGCATGCACCTAGCTTTTCAGTCACTTTAATAATAGAACAGAGCCTGAAAGCAACTTGTTAGTAATACTTGTGCAGTTATCTGGTACTGGTTTTTATGATTTCGTTTACTGCGTTTAGATTTTTTGGTGACATTTTAAAAAACCTGTGTGGCAAACGTGAATGCTTGTGAGAATATTTGCAGACTGGATCCAGCTTCACGCATACAAGCAGCAGAATTTAGGGCTTTTCTCTTTAAAAAGTTCTTTGCGCACTTATCAAAAATGAAGTTTAAGAGAAGATGAAGTACCTGAATGGTTGGGCGGATGTGTTCAGTCAGATCAGGCAGCATTACCGTAAAATTCATTTGAATGTTTAAGCTGGTATATTGCATAAACTAAAAAGTTTTAAGTTCGTATTTGCAACATAGAAGTTGGGCTTTGCTGCCCTTTCACTATGAATTTCTCTGGCAATAGACATTTAAAAGAAAGAGTGGAGTTTTATAAAAGTGAAATAAATGGACTCTAGTTTCAGAATCTCAACAGGCAAGTTTCAGAAGTAGTAGCTTGCAGGATGAACGTCTCCAGTTGTTTGGCAATTAGAGGACAAGCATGAAATTTTGAGCGTGCTTTTCAGAAGGTCCATTTTTTGTTAGAGTATTTAATTTCCTGCAGAGTGTCAGTGCTTGCTAACTGTATCAGTTGAAAGTCATGTGCATATATGACGTTATGTTTTTGCTTAACTGTTCTTGACGATTTGGTATGTTGGAGGCTTAGTGCTCAGGAAATGATTTTGAGTAATATAGCTCTGTAATGGAGGTGGTATATTTCTACGGGTACAATTTAATCACAGAATTGAAATATGTAAGGAGAATGAGGGACTGTAGCATATTTTCAATGTGGGATCAGCATTCAGTGATATTTTTGTCCTGCTTTCTTTGAATGGTGTGACTCAGTAGCCTGCTCAGACTGTGGCACAGCATGAGGTTTGTTTGAGTACTAAAATTCAACTAAAAAAAACAAAACTAAAGTGATTCTTTGATTTGCATCCAACTATTGACAAGCACAAGAGGTGGGTTTTTTGCTTGCTTTTTTTTTTCCTTAAGATTGATTTGTAAGTGTATGCATCTCCTGCTTTTAAATATCAGCTGTTGAAAATGACATCTTGGCAGATCATGTACATCTGGAAGAACAATGTACTTCACTGTAATCCGTGCTTTTGATGTCTGGGCTACCACATTAACAATGCAGTTTTCCTACAAATGCCAGTCTTTGCCTGAAGAATGGAGTAAGTCGAATAATGTATGTTACTCATGCATAAAAAAGTCTTCCCCTAAGTTAATTGTACCACAGGCTTCTGGTATCTAGGTGTTAAGATTGTAGCTGCTAAGATCCAAAAATGTTCACCAGTATTCCAAGTGAAGCATAATGCAATTTACTAACAGTCACTTCCTCTTGTTTCTTGGCTAAATCTATTATCTAGAGATACAGAACTGCACGGCATCTAGGAGGAGGAATTATGAACGCTACAGGGAGGTAAAGCTAATCGGAAGGATGGCTACAAGGAGACTTGTCTGGGTGCCACGTGACTTTTAAGGGTTAAAATTGTCCAAGCTTCTTTTTTTTTGGACAAGGGGAAGCTATGTTCAGCTATGATAATAGTACAGTTGTGAAAGAATAAAATTTAGATTTTTTTTTTTTTAAGGGTAAATAATCACAGGTTGGAGACAAAAACATTTCAAAATGAAGACCTTGTGTAGGTGATTTTGTGACAATCGTGTCTTGGGCACTGTATGTGTAGTGGAACTATTCTCTGCTGCAGCTGGTCAAAACGGGATGAATACTGATGAAGTTCTCCATTTTTTGTTGGTTTTGGTGTGTGTTTGTTGTTGTTTTTTTTTAAATACCCAGTACTGTCCCTTACTTTCATCTAGATTTAATTGCTACAAGAACTATGAGCCATGAGATCCTGTAAATGTTGTTCAGAGACTCAATAGATAAAAGGGCTGGTCTGGTTCTGGCTATTGCTTGCATTGTAGAGAAACATACTTAGAAGATAACTAATAAAATGAGACCTGATCTAAGCATAAGAAATGTGCATTCAAATTAAAGACCTCTTCCATAAAACAGTAAGTTAAAGGAAAATGGACAGCAGATTAAATGTGAGCTTTGCAATGTGATAACTGTGGTAAAGGTATGCCACAGAAGACAAATGCTTAAGGGTAAGTGAATGATACTCACCCTGCATAAATGTCATTAGAAGTATCAATAGGAATGAAAAGCATTCACGCTGGAGATGTCACAACAAAAAAGCAATAGCCCAAAGCTAAGAAAAGCACAGTTTAGGCTTGCTGTTAGAGCAGGGGAGACAAAGATACAGATATTTGTCTAGAATATCAAAGGAACATTGACTTTTCATTTGCTCACAGTGAGTGTGATATCAGATTTTCATAATAATTTTATATGCAGAAGTGTTTCAGAATTTTAGGAGGTATTTAATTTCTAACTTCTTACACATGGTGATAGAATGAGATATTATCTTAAAAACACAAACCTCAAATACAGGTAGAGTTACTTCTTGTGTTTATATAAACTAGATATGTTGACTTTAGTATGTTGGCTAATGATACTAACTTTGATGTGTTTATCAGTAGAAGTAAAGATACCTCTGAATTATTTACTGATCTACCATTCGACTAGAGATCAGATACAATATGGATGGACGCAGACCTGACACTTGGTTTTACAGAAACACCTATGGGAACAGCTCATACAGAGTTTTCCATGTGAAGGTAGCAAAATTAAACTAAAATATGCACTCTTTTCTAATTTTTGTAGTCAGTAGAATATAAAATAAGAAAGAACTGGGTGTAGTCTAGATTCTCAAATATGTTTGGAAGAACTAACTATACTTCTGCGTGTGCTCTGGAAAGCTGAAGTGTAGTTACAGTTCAATTTGAGGCCTGTAAGAGACACATAACTGTTCCCAGTTTATTAATTTTTGAGGGTATTTTAAACTAATATTAACATGAATGTTCCTTTTTTTTCAAACCTCTCTTGAGCTAAACTAAAATACTACAGATTATGAAAGTTAATAAGCTTTACCCAGATTATGGGAGGAAGATAGAAGGCTATCGTGGACATTTTGGATATCTCTCTGTCAAGAGAGAAAAGGCATGGGAAGTTTTTATATATTCACTGTCTCTGGAAAAATATTTGTAGAATATGTAGACAGATTTTAATGTTGAAAGTAAACTGTGAAACGGTTGACCCTGTAGACTTACAATAGTGTGGTTGTGTTGTGTATTTAAAGTAAATGAACAGGAAGCTCTACTAGTGTTTTCGGTTTAGAAGCTGCAGTGAGAGTTGAGATGTTGTGCTGCTGCAGTCTATAAGCATTTGGGTTACTCTTTTGCTCTGGTGCTCAAACACTTTAAACTTCTTTGCAGCAGATAAACTGTGGCGTGAGCATGACTTATTATAAATGCATCTTTGTGCTCTATTCTGCCAGTTCTTGCTACTTGAAAATGCAGGTCTCTGCATGCATGCCTTGCCACTTCTTAGTTCATGCTATGTTGATTCATTCGAGGCTTAGCTTAATTGGCTCTGGTTATGGAAAGCTAGTTTAGAACTGATAGTTGCAGGGAGTCTCTTTTTTCATTTGGTACAGCTAAAGACATTCCATGTTTTCCAGTGCTATACAGCCACTGAATCTTGATACAAGTGTGGGAGAGGCTAACAATGATGAAGTAGCTAAGTCTCTGTGTCTTGCAAAGTCAATATCCTCTCTGTGAGAACCAGGAGTTTACTTTCAATTGCAAGTGATAGTACATTTTGTGATATTGAGAATGTTTCAGGGCACTCTGCTGCATTGGTTAGTTATACTACTAACACTTTCAGATCAAGACCAATTGTGTCTACTGATGGCAAATGTGAGATTGTGCAAGACCCATTATATGGGGCTACTTAGCTGCTTAGTTTTGCTTGTTTTTCAGAGTTTAAAATCTAAGTACTTGAATCCAAATCTTCTGCGATAGCATTGCTGTAAGTAGAACATTGAAAAATTGAGCCTGTTATGGCTTACTATTAAGGGGATATAATGTGCTAAAAATGTAGAAATCACACAACATGCAGACAGCACTATACCTGCTTCTGAGCATCTTCAGAAGGTTTTTACGGTTTTAGTGTGTTCTTCCACATGTGACTTACTCCTCTTTCTTTCTCTGTCTGCTCTAAGGGTACATATA